AATAAATATAAGAGAATGAATTTCACATTGGCCTCCTTGGAAGTCTCCCTCTTAGGCTATGTCCTCCAGACTGTTTTCCATACTGCTGATATAAAACATAGACCTGCTCTAATGCCTTCCTAATCCCAAAGAATGAGGTCCAAATTCTGTAGCCAGGCTTTAAGTATCTGCTTATCACTCCTGGTGCCTGCATGTCCAACACCTCAGACATTTTGCAGTTTTCTTAAACACTCTCTTTCTGCCAGGACATACATCATTTTTCTTTTTCTTTAATAGTTCCTCCTTTTTTTTCTCCTCCCCCTTTAACCTGCCTAGTTAAGTCCTATCCATATAAATCTAGTTCACAAATGATCTTCCTTAGCCCCTCAGGAAGAATAAATTGCTACCTCTTCCAAGATTCTTCATTTGGGTTATTCTGATTTGCTTACAATTCCCTACTCACTGTTACATTCTAATTCTTCATTTCATTCATATCTCAGTCACTATCTTTTCAATGCCTTAAAGACAAGGCCTGGACTCATTCTATCTGGCCTGGTCCCTGGCATATAGTAGGCATGCAATAAATATTTGAATCAATTTAATTACTCCACAAATAACATTTGCTAGAAATAACACTTGCTAGGATAGGGTTCCCATGTGGCAGGCATAAGGCTGAACATTTTATATAGATTATATAGATTAACCAATTTAATACTTTTAATAACACGATGGGAATAGTTATTCCTATTTTATAAATTGGTAACCTGGGCCTTAAATATTGTTTTCCCAACTTACAATTATTTTAAAAATAGTGAATTGGGTAAATATTTAAGTCCAGATACTCCCAGATGATACTTTCTACAAACATATTTAGCTGGGAAATTTTTTTTTCTGCTGTCGGGATAGAAGACAAAAATGATGTGTGTATATGTGCACGTGGGCATGCACGTCACTTTTCTAGCTCACACATCTCCTGTCTTCCTTGGTTTATGTTTGTTTCTGTGTTTTCCTTTTGTTTCAGAACATGAATTGCTTCCCAATCCCTTAAGCTCCCTCAGATTTGTCATCCTTAAATACATCCTCTACGATTCTTTTTTTTTTTTTCTTGACAGGACATATTCCTAAAAACCTTCTTATCAATTTGACTCTTCCCCCCTTTCTCTGGGGTTTTTTTTAATGGTTTGAAATTAAAAAAAAAATCAAGCCCCCCCCCCCCAATCACTTGTTGAATTGATAGTTTTTAGTACTACAGGTTTATAACTATAGTGACAGCAAAGTCCCTGGACACTATCTATGTGGGAGCCCCAGTCTAGGTGGCGAGGAGACAAGAGAAAAAGTGTGAAATGATGTGCCAGTGTGAAATCTAAGGGAAACAGCTAAGAGAATCACACCCTCTCCAAACCCTTCAGTCTGGTTTGGCTCTAGTCCTGCCTTGAGAGCAAGATGATTCGTTGGACAGGGGATTGTTTTCCATAGTAGCTCTGACGCAGCTCTAACATCACTCCTTAGCCCAACATAGTGCACTTTCCTTATAGGCCATCCCAAGGCCACTCCGGGAATTCAGATTTTAGTGGCAGCATCAGACTTGCCTTACTTTAACACTTCTTTAGCTAATCCAGTGAAGGAAGGTAAGGGAGATGTTCTATGTCTCATGGCATTTAACAAGCTCTTACATTCATTGCAGTGGAGGTGGTCTGAATTGGTGGAAAGAAGGAACGTCTTGGGCCAATCACTTGGCAGGTAAGCATGGCTTGCTGATCAAGTCAGTTTCTCCTACTATGACAAACGTGACAATTTTGACCAACAGAAAACTATTTTGGAAAGCCCTTTAACATACATTCCTTTTTGTCGTCCAGAGTTATGTAAAGAGATGTCAGTGACAACACTGCTTAGCTTCTAATGATTCTTCAGGGAAACCCTTCTATTTCCATTCACCTCTTTCAAGACCTTTCATATTTTTACATTGCTCATGTATTTGCCTCCACTTCCCTTTATTCTTCCCTGCTGTATGGTCAATGTCATAGCTGGTTATTTACTGCAGTGGAATTTTGTTCAGTGTAATTATGTAAATATTTTCAGAAAGTCGAGGCCATATTTTCTAATTAGTAATATGCATTTTTGTTCCCAAGTACATAAGAGGCTATTCAGTGGGAAACATTTCAATTCAATTCTGGGCAATTTGTATTTAGTGTATGATTTAGATAACTAGTCCTTTGCTTCTCCTTTTCTCCTGCTTTCCCAGCTCCTGCTTTCTGTTTCAGCCATAGCCAATTATATTCACCCCAACTTAGGACTCCATTTCTGTGAGCATTTACCTTAAATGTCCTAACTTTCTTGGATTTGTCTAATTCCTTTTTAGGAAATAATGTATAAAAATATTTTTTTGGTTAGAAGTTGCATTTCTCTTTTAAAAATTAACCTTGAACACTTTGCTCCCTTATGTGGGAGACCACCATTTTGTTGCAAAAACATAAAAAAGCTTGTTTAGGACCTATTTATTCTTAGAACAAATGTGATAGTGATCCATAGGGATATATTTCCAAAAGCTAAGCACGTACCTTCTACACCTGTATATGTTGCAGCCCATACTGTTGAATAAATTCTCAGTCATATATGTCTACCTATATTTAGATTTTCCTGCAAGACTAGATTTCTGCAGTTTGCATAGCTTTATGGCTTCCTGTCCTTCAGATGCCTATGCTCTTAGCCTTGTATCCCAAATGTACTTTGAATGTTTAAGTTTCCGGAGCAGGACTTACTTTCTGGTGCCAGGAAAGTTGTCGCTTAGGTCCTCATTCTGGTAGCCGGAGCCCTCCCACCTCATTTGCTTTGAACGGAACACTCTCTTTAGAACGCTTTCTTTAAGAAACTTGGAGATGATCTTTTCCCTTTGAACATTACTGAATATTTTGCCTTCTGGAAGCCAGCTGATCTTGTCACATCCACCATGGCAGAGGGGAAGGGGAAGGTGTTCGGGAGACACAATAGCCCTCTTTGGAACAAAAAAAGGAATTGCCGTTTACCTAAAAGTCATGAAGAAGAGATCAGCCTAACTAGAAAAACAACGCAGCGTCCTGCAGGTGCTGTGCTGTGGGATCAATTTAGTTAATAATACATTGCTACTACCTGAGAGGCACGGCTGGCCCTTCATAGCAACTCATTGTCACAATAAGAAAGAAAGAGAGCACTGGCTTAGGAACATTCTCTCTCATCTTTCTTTTGAGAAAATAATCATATATTACAAATGTGGTTTTGGAAATGTAGATTTTTTGGCCATGGAAGAACAGAATTGGAAATAAGCCAAATTCAAAACAAGATACAAACTAGAAGGATGTTTCATCAGAGGACATTAGTTCTGTAGGGTGAGACCTGGCTGGCTGAGATCAAGATCACACAGCTAGTCAACAGCAGTGGGGCACCAGCCTCCGACTGCTGACCCTGGTCCTGAATGGTATTCTTTCCACTGCACCACACATAGAGTGAATGAGATGGATTCCTTGAAGCAGTCTTATCCATTGCAGAAGACATTTATCCATCAGAGAGTTTATTTAAAAATAAAATATAATCCCGTGGCCTACTTCTGATTTCTTCCAAGGTAAATAAGCCAAATAACTGGAAACATTCCATCAGTTGCTATTTAGAGCAATGATTAAGAACATATGGTGGGGATGAAAGGTATAGTACAGGGAATATAGTCAAGGGTATTGTAATACTAATATATATATATATATATATATGACATATAGTCAATGGTATTGTAACACTAATATATATATAATATATATATATATATTATATATATATATATCAACTTACATGCAATATATCACTTCCTTGGCCTGTAGAATAGCTTAAAACATGGTTTGTTCTTTTCTATTTATATAAAATAATATTTAGTGTAACATATTCAAGTTTGCTTGGAAGAAAGAAGTCTCCACCTATCAAAATATCGTACCCCCCTCACTTCCACAAGCTCCCTTCTGTCTCCAAAAACACCCATGAAATCATGAGAATCACATTATATTCAAGTGATTCTGATTCTCTAACATATTTTAAATATATTCAAAGTAAACCCTTTTGTTTTTTTTTAAAGCCTTACTCTTTAAGTTTGCAAATTAAAAATTAATTTGAAAGTTCAGAAATAAAATTTTGTATCTTCTGCTCTGGGCACTAATGTATGACATGATATAACCATGATGCTACTGTGGTCCTGACCAAGGGCTTTGAAGTTTGGTAAGAAACTGGCAAGCACTACCAGCTGGCTCGTAGCGTGCTTGGCTCACATGGATCTCCTCATTTCTGATCACTTTGCAGTGCGGTTACCAGCCAGTTCATGGGATACAGCAAAGTGGTGACCCTGGCTCAGGTGGCGAAGCATGCTGAGGTTAAGGAGTAGCTAGAACAACCCTGTTTGCATTTTGGCCTCAAACCTGGGAGGAGTTCTTGACACCTTCTACCTTGCTCAGGGCTATGCTATCAGCTATGGTGGGTCAAGATCATTTAGTACTTCTGCTCTGGGTCCACAGTGAGGACTGGCTTCTGCCAGTAAAGCTAGAATGGAGCATTTGGTTGACTCTGTTCAGATAAGAGAATAAGAAGCAGGTTGGCCTCCTACCTGTGTTAATCTGGACATTTCCTCAGTTGTGGACAATGAAGCTCTTCGCTCAGTTCAGCTTGAGGACTGTATGGAGGTAATCGCTTTCCCTTGGGGCCTAGTAGGTCTGCGGAGTCTCAATTATGTACACACAGGCCTCCATGAAGTGCCAGATGGAAAATCAACACTGGATGTGTTGGCTTCCCCTCTTGCCTTTAGGAAAGTACTCTGTTTGCCTCAGCTGTTGTCCACGTTCAGACAGGAAATGAGTTTCTGCCTGAAATCCCCATAAGGGTTGGCAAGATCTTTTTGACAGGCTGATTTCCTCTGGTTTGAAGATAGGATGAGCATTCAGGGTTCCAGGCTAAGATCTGGGCCATTGTGACTCTCAGAATGCTAAGTGATCTGAGACCAGAAAATAGATTCTGTGATACCTTCTCCGAGATGGAGGAAAGCGGGGAGAAAGAACAACTGTGGGGCACTCTACCCTTCTGATTCCTTATTTTTTCTTCTCTGTAACTCAGTGGGTCATCATGGGGACAGCCAAGAACAACCACACTGTACTGAAACTTCCCCTCCTTGACAAACCCAAGACACAGAAAAACTATGCCCAACCTGAGGTTCTGTGTCACACCTTTGAGACCCTGTCTAACCTTCACAAACTGCTGCCAAATCATATGATGGAGACACTCTACTTCTACAAGAGGGAAGAGGACAAACAAAATTGTATGTGGGCAGAGGATGGGCGTGAACTCTGTTTAGTAAGCATATACTTCGTCTTGGTGTAAAACTGCCTCTACTTTTATTTATTTATTAAATATTTTTATTTATTTTGAGAGAGAGAGCAAGCAGGGGAGGAGCACAGAGAGAGAGGGAAAGAGGGAATCCCAAACTGGCTCTACACATCAGCACAGAGCCTGATGAGGGGCTCAAACTCACAAACTGTGAAATGATGACCTGAACCGAAATTGAGTTGGTCTCATAACTGACTGAGCCACCCAGCCACCCCCTGCCTCTGCTTTTACCATGACTAAGAACTGACTCTTTATATGGCAGGTGTGGTCAGTCCTTGGCATGCTGATTATGCTCTGGGGGTCCATGCTCTCTGAGCTCCCTTCTTCCCTTTCGTTTATTGGACTGGTCTTTTATGAACCAAGTGAGGTCTGTCACTGTTCTTCAGGCAAAGTCTACCTCTGGGATGATGGAAAGTGGATTAAGTGGGAAATAATCTCTAAATTTACAGGTTCAGATTTGATTTGAAGATGAGTAAGGGAATGTCCAAGTTGAAGGTCAGGCTTCGAAGCTTATTCCTTTGCTCTATTTCCTGGTGTGCCTTCCTCCTACTGTTCCACCCCACAGAGAAGCCGGATATTCCCTCTCCCTCCCGCCCCACCCTGCCACCAAGGATTATAAATGCCCCTCCCTTTCTGGAGTTTGGAGCAGCCCCCAGTCCTGGAATTCTCTCAGAGCTGTTTATAACTGGACTGATTCGTAGAATTGGGTGGGGCCTGCCTCCTGAAGTGTTTGTTCCTGCTTCAGTGAAAGACAAAGGTAGCTGGTAGCCACTTGTGTCCATGAATTTAGAAAGGAAAATAGCAGTTGCCACAGTGCTTAAGACACAGTCCTGGGGAGGAAGGTTTAATGGCAAATTTGTCCATTTATATTCTGGTTAGTCCCAAGTCCCTGAATGCACAGTATTGTGAACTGATCCCAATTTCCAGATTACACTAAAGATTACATAAAAATAATCAAGGAAAATAAAAGCAACCTCCTAGAGTAGATAAATATACACAGACAATTCACAAGATGAAATACAAATTATCAATAAGCATGAACGCTGTTCAAACACTCTGGTAGTCAAGGAAGTAAAAGATAAATCAAGGCAATATTTTTTTAGGCCATCAGACTGGTCAAGTTTTAAAAGATCAATACTGGTGAACATGTGGGGAAATTAATGCCCTCATAATCATTATTAGAATGCTATTGATTCAGGCTTTTTTGAAGATAATTTGAAAGTCTTTGCCGAAATTTAAAATGTATGTTACTGGCTTATTAAATGAGTTGAACTTGGCAAAGAATAAGTAGAAAATAATTTTCTTTTTTGTCATGGTTTTCCCTGTGACCATTCTGTTGCTCTTCAGCCATCATGTTTGGGTAAAATTACAAGCAGATCTCATAGGTTTCCTGGTCATATTCTGTTTAATACATTCTCCAGACCAGTTTTCTCAATGACTGGTACCAAACCAAAAAGTAGGAAACGGGAGGAAGTTTGAAGCTTTTGTATATTGTTTTTAATGCTTAAGAAGCTACCTCTCTTGGTTAATTCATGGCTTTTCCCCACAGATACTTTGGGAGGTTGCTTAGTTGGATGCAGTGAGGGGCAGGGAAAGCAGGAAGAGTGGATTCCACAGAAGGAGTGGGCTCCGGGAGGAGATGAACGGGGCAGCTCTAGAAGAGGCACACGTGCGTGCATGTGTGTGTGTCTGTGTGTGTGTGTGTATGTCCTGTTCATGTGCCAGCTGGAGACTTTTGTGTGTGCCTTAAAGACAATTCTGAGGTGTAAAAGCAACAAGTCATTTTAGAGCCTCCAGTTTTAAGTTACCTATTTTCTACTGCGTCTGGTACACACACACATTGGCTTGTGTACTGGTTTATATACATTATCTATGCTGATTTGTATTGTGATTACAAACTCATCCATCCATTCTTCAAACCATCCACCCATCTAACATGTACTGCATTCCACACATTAAAATAAGAAATTGGGGCATCTGGGTGGCTCAGTCAGTTAAGCATCTGACTCTCGATTTCAGCTCAGGTCATGATCTTACAGCTGTGGGATTGAGCCCTGCATTGGGCTCTGTGTTGGGCATGGAGCCTGTTTGAGATTCTCTCCCTCTCCCTCTGCCCCACCTGCCTCTCTCTCTCTCTCTCTCTCTCTCTCTCTCTCTCTCTCTCTCAAAAAAAATAAGAAATCAAAAACCATTCAAAGCAGCTCACAGTCCAATATATCTAATTTTCATCTATAAATTTATAATCAATATCATTTTATTTCCAATAATTTCTGGAGGCATAACTATACTTTCTGTGCTTTCTTTCAAAACCAGGAAATTTGCTTATAATTTCAGATAAGGCTGGCAGTAAGACTTAAATATTCAAAGTGAGTTCTGAGTTTTTATCTTATTTTGGTGTGCAGTGCTAAATATAAATTTTATGCTGGAGAATATGAGAAGTTGTTATATTTGTTAAATGTTATCCTTTCTAATTCATCCTTGATTACTTACTTTTGAGGCAGTTTAGAATTCCAAAGTATGTGTACACAAGACAATAAAAAACAATTCATTTAAGGCAAAAATTATTTTTAGCTGGATGTCATCAAATACCTGAATTGGGTTTATTATTTCAGTCAAATACTACATTTTGCTTCCAGGAGTGCCTGGGTGGCTCAGTTGGTTGAGCCTCTGACTTCGGCTCAGGTCATGATCTCACACTTCATGGGTTCAAGTCCTGCATCAGGCTTTGTGCTAACAGCTCTCAGAGTCTAGAGCCTGCTTTGGATTCTGTGTCTCCTTCTCTCTTTGCCCCTCCCCTGCTCACTCTCTGTCTCTCTTTAACATAAATAAACAGTAAAAAAATATAAACAAATAAATTAGCTTCCAAATTCTGACAACCAAAGCAAACCATGCTATTCCTATCATTAGAGTGTAAGGGCTTCTGAGTGCGGCATCCCTGCCCCCGCCCGCCATGGGATCCTGAGCTAAAACTGCTTCTAGGAGCAGTATGTGAATGCTGTCTGGGCCAGGCCCGAGACCACTGGGCAGGAGCCCCAGATTCCTGTTTTTTACTCACTTGGAATGATTTGCAGTCCTCTAAAGATTGATCTATTAATCATTACATCATTTAGATTGCCAAGAGATGGCCTCTTGAGTCAATTCTTGGTTCTTTGGAGTCTGTGCCAATTACCCTGTCTGGGATGGACCATCAGTGGTTCAGTCCGAGAAACAACAGAGGCTGGCTGAGTTGGGAACTAATTTCTATGCAGGGTCACCCTGAATCACTGGGGCTCAGTTTCTCTTCTTGCATTAGGTTGATCACAGCACTCTTATTTTCTAATACACCCAGCTGCATTGCAGAGCCACTCACAGTGTAGCTGGCAAACTGGTTTTGGTTCTCAACTTGTTACCAGTTGGCAAAGAGAGAAGCTTACACTACAGTGTATGTATGGTGGTATGTCACCAAATCCACCATGCAGTTCTACTGACTTCCTTTCTTTCCCTCCCTCTCTCCCTCCTTGCCTCCTCCCTCCCTCCTTCCCTCTCTTCCTTTCTTTTGGTAGCAGGACTGTTTTGATGACGGAAGCAGTATACTGAATTATATTCTGGCACAAGCTCTTTGTCCCACCGCAGACGAGAGATTTGGTTAGGGGCCAAACAAGGGCAACGTGAAGTAGTGGATGTGATGTAAATACAGGGTATGGTTAATCTCTCCGAAGATCGAAATAATGGAACAGTAAATTGCCATTAATTTGAGAATCACACAGAAATTACTTAAACAAACTTCAATATTTGTGGTGGTATCAGCACATTGGTTTGTTCATTCATTTATTTATTTGTTGTGCATCTATTAGATGTCTAGGACCAGACTAAGGTCTGAATGTCGCTCAAGTATACTTTTGCAGTGAAGGAATGGCAGAGCTCAATAGCAATTATTAAATGGTATAAATATTCTTTCTCAAACTAATGCCGTGTTACTCTCGCTATGCAAAGATGGAAAGGAACACTGAATCGTATGAATGTTAATTCTATTACTAGGTCAGAATTCTGAATTCTCTGGCTTAGAAAGGATCTTAGCAAGACATCAGTTTCCAAAAGAGATTAATCTGACTCCCAATCCAAGTAGCATGCCCCTGTGGAGAAGAAAATGCATCAACAATGCAAATCGTGGGTGGAAGAAATGTCAATTGTGGAATAAAAGCCTTGAGGAACCTCCAATGTCAACCATAGTTGTCAGGTAGGCATCTACTTTTAGTGTGATCACAAACTCTTCATGCCTTAGCCAAAAAATGTCTTAATGTGCTCTTTGAGATGTATGATGAGCATGAAAACAAGCATTGCTATGTATAAAAGCATATAAGCCCCATTTTCTCAGAGACAAAACTCATGGAGACAAAATTCTGAGAGAGAGAGAACTCACGGAGACAGGAGGTGTGTGGGTCTCCCATGGGCCATTGCATTTCACGTTAGTAGGCAGACATCTAGCCGGGCTGGGCTGGCATTCTTGGGTGAGGGACTCGACTACAGAGCTATGGGGTTTTTATGCTGCATGAGTCAGGAAGCACCAGCCCACCCCTAGCATGACTAGTGGCCTAGGATACAAAAGTATAAATAGTGGAACCTTAGCGTTATCTGTATAGTGTGCAGGTTTTACGCTGACAGAAATGGGAGCCGTTTCAGGGTCTTAAAAATAAGGGCAATACAATCTCATCTGAAACCTCCCTGGCCCCTAGGGGTACCAGGGGGGAAGCGGAGAGGGATGGTAGGTCTCAGACCGGTAGTAACAGTGGGGATGTAGAATTGGTTGGATTCTGGCACTTAAAGTTATAAGCTTTGGTTTCCTTGGAAAATTATCTTTGTTGGTACACTTCCTTCCCTGATAATGCCAGACAGAGGATGTTTCCAGATTTGTTTCTTCAGTATTGCTGCATGTATTGCTATACAATACCTAATAAGTGATTTCTACATGTAGCACTTAGTAGGTATTCAAAAAATGTTGTTGCCAGGCTGACAGGAGAATATATAATTTTCTATAAAGACAGAGTTCTCTCTGCTTTGAAGGTAACAGACAGGGAGAGATTTCCAGCTCATGAATTTTACCTGTACTGGAAGCTCCCACTTGGAAAGAATTTCCTTGTCTACATTTTCCCCCCAATGTCCTCAGTGGCATAACTTGACAATTGGATTTAAAAATCCATTTTCAATGAAGGCAAAGATATGTTATAAAAGAATTAGAATGATGGTATTTTCTTCTTGAACAATACAAGGCACTAAACTTGTGTTCAGATTAAGGATAGAAGCTATTTTAAGTGATGATTCCTGATTACTCAAGTTAAGATTATTTGACCATACTTTGGAGGCCTATAAAGAAAGATAACAACAGTTTATACACCTCAATTTCAGGCCATAATGTCTTGATGTGAACTAATATATTTTACTTTACATCCTAGTTTGTTTGGTTTCTGAAAAATATAGCCAGATTGTCAGAACATAAGAAATGACATATTTATTCATATTTTCTTCTACAAACATTTATTTGCCTTTCTTAAAAACTAGGACTGGTAAAAGCAGGCATCTTTTCATTGTTCTTAATGTCAGGAAAAAATAATTCAGTATTTTGTTGGCTATTGGTTTTTGCAGGTTACTTTTATCAGTTGGAAGAAGTTCACTACTGTTGTTGGTTTGCTTAGTTTTTGTCATAATGGATATTGAATTTTGTCAAATGCTTTCACTATATCCACTGACTTGATCATATTTATCTTTTCTATTAATATGGTGAATTATATTGTTTTAAAAATATTTTTATCATGGTAGAATGTATGTAAAATGTTCTATTTCCCCCATTTTTAAAGTGTACAGTTCAGTGGCTTTAAGCACCTCTACACTGCTGTGCAGCCATCACACCATCCATATTTCCAGAACATTTTCATCTTCCTAGACTGAAACTCTGCACCCATTAAACACTAACTCCTATTTCCTCGTCTCTCCAATTCCTGACAAACACTATTTTTACTTTTGTCTCTATGGATTTGCCTAATCTAGATACCTCAACTCAGTAAAACCATACAATATTTGTCCTTTTGTGTCTGGCTTATTTCACTGAGCATGATGTCCTCAAAGTTCATCATGTTGTGTGTCAGAAGTTCCTTGCTTCTGAAGGCCGAATAATATTCCATTGTATGTATATGCTACATTTTGTTTTATCCAAACAAAACACCCAGCATTTATTGAAAAGATCATCTTTTCCCTATTGAATGGTCTTGGCACCTTTGTCAAAAATCATTTCATCATTAAAAATAAAGTCATGAAAAAGTTTATTCTGAGTTTTCTATTCTATTCCATTGGTTTGTAATGGAATCATAAGATTATATATTGGAGCTCTAATATTTGGTGTGTTTATAAAATGTTAATACACGTTTATAATTGTTCTACCTTCTTGCCTCATTTGGCCCTTTTACCATTACATTATGTCTTTATCTATTGTAAGAGTTTTCTAGTCTCCTTTTTTTTTTTTTTTTTAAATGCATATAGCCATCCCTGTTCTCTTTTGCTTACTATTTGCATGGAGTATTTTTTTCATCCTTTCATTTCTAACCCAAGCATGTCCCTAGATCTAAAGTGAGACTCTTGTAGGCAGTATATAATTGAATTGAATCCTGACTGGTTTTATTATCTATTCTATCAGTCCATGTTTTTTGGAGCATTTAACCCATTTGCATTTGAAGTAATTACTAATAGGGAAGCACTTACTTTTGCCATGTTGTTTTCTGTATGTTTTATATATTTTCCCTCATTTTCTCCATAACTGCTCTCTTTTGTGTTTGGTTGATTTCTTGTACCAACACATTTTGATTCTCTTTTCATTTCTTTTTGTGTATCTTCTATGGATATTTTCTTTGTGGTTACCATGGGGATTATATATAACATCCTAAAGTTGTGACAATCTATCTTAAATTGTTACCAACTCAACTTCAATTGCATAAGAAAACTCCTTTAGAGCTCTGCCCCTGTTACTGATGTCACAAACTAAATCTTTACATATTGCATACCCATGAACATAGATTTATAATTACATCTTATGCATTTGTCTTTTAAATCCTATAGAAAATATGGGCTCCTGGGTGGCTCAGTCAGTTAAGCATCTGACTCTTGATTTTGGCTCAGGTCATGATTCCAGGGTTGTGAGATCTAGCTCCACATCAGGCTCTGCACTGAGCGTGGAGCATGCTTGAGATTCTGTCTCTCTCTCTCTCTCTCTCTCTCTCTGCCTCTCTCCCCTGCTCATGCTAAAATAGATAAAAACAAATGAATAAACAAGCAAATAAATCCTATGAAAATAAAAAGTGGAGTTGCAAACCCAAATATCAGAGTACTATTTTTATATTTGTGCATATATTTACCTTTACTGGAGAACTTTATATTTTTACGTGGCTTTGAATTACTATCTAGCTCCCTTTCATTTCAACTTGGATGCTGTTTAGTATTGCTTGTAGGGCAGATCTAGAAGTAATGAATGCCCAGGTTTTGCATTGGAAGGTCTTAAATTTCTCCCTCATTTTTGAAGGGCAGTTTTGCCAAATGTAGAGTTATTAGTTGACATTTTTTTTTCTTTTCCTTTCAGTGCTTTAAATGTATCCTACTGCCTTCTGGACTGCAAGGTTTCCGCTGAGAAATCTGCTCATTATCTTATTGGTGATCACTTTCTAAAATGATTTGCTTTTCAGGGTGCCTGGGTGGCTCAGTAGGTTGAGCATCTGACTTCAGCTCAGGTCATGATCTCACGGTTTGTGAGTTCGAGCCCCGTGTTGGGCTCTGTGCTGACAGCTCAGAGCCTGGAGCCTGCTTCGGATTCTGTGTCTCCCTCTCTCTCTGTCCCTCCCCTGCTCATGCTCTCTGTCTCAAAAAAAAAAAAAAAAAAAAAAAAA